GAGTTTACATGTACATCTTGGAAGTTTCGGGTTCAGTTCTTTTATCAACAATTTTAGCTCTACAAATTTTACCAAAATTAATGCAACAGGGAAGGCAAGGAAGGGGATTCAAACGTATCTCCTCTTATTAGAATTATTGAAAGATTGACCATTACATTACTTGTTCAATTTTGATACTTGTTTTAACAAAATAATATATGTTAGTTTTCAATGGTTTTAATGTAGTTATAAAGATTTGAACTCGTGCTCTTCCTTTGAATTATATAGAATTTGGCAACAATATCATTTGGTGGGTGCGATATATTTGTACAACATAATTATATATTTAAATTATAGGCCTTGTTTGATTCTTATTTATTCTTCAATAAAATAATATTGCAAGCAAATTCAAAACTTTTCCTTATTTTTAACCATACATTCTCCATCAAATTACTATTCCAAAATGTATTTTTTGTATAAAAAGGACATCAAACGGGCTCTTAATATTTTATTGTAGTCGACGGTTGATGGTCAACGGTCTTCCGTGCCGATTAAAAATCCTGAATCCGCCACTGGTCTTAATCGTGATCTATAGTGCACTAAGGGGTATTGACCAAATATGATAGTGCACTAAGTAATCTTAATCGTGTACATATAGTTCACTGAGATCTTGATCGTGTATATGGTTGTATTTTTAGATTTCTATGGGAACTACTTTCATGCACTAGAAGGACATTGGGCCTGTGAGCGGAAATGCTCTACGCCTCTACCTTTAGGTTATCTATGTGTGTATGACAATATACGAAATGGTACAACTTTGGTGAGATTTTTCAGTATATTATGATAAGATGAGATTATGGATCTTCGAGCACAGTTTTCATTTGAAGATTTTATTATGTGAATAATGAAAGCTTGCTCCAAAATTCTCCCGAACCAAATCAATAGATGTGGGTATGTAATTTAATTTTGAGAAAATCATAAAGGAGATCAATTAGACAGAGACGAGGAAGAAAAGGGTTTTAGCAAAAAGGGGAAAAAGGTTTGGGCTGTAATGAACGACTAATTGATGACAATGCAATCGACCGAAATTCGTAAACAAGATCCATTACGTAGAGACAGGAAGAAATAAATTGAAAAAATGGAGAAGGAAAGCATATAGGTTTCTGGGGAACAAAGAAAAGAAAAAGAAAAAGAAAAGAGAAAAGCGAAAAGAAAAAAGAAAAAGAACAAGACAAGAACCAAAAAAAGAAAAAGAAAAAGAAGAAATTGTAGAAAAAAATAAAGGACTAGAAAAAGGATGAAAAACCCTACTTATTTAATTGATAAATTTTTATATGGCATGCCAAGAACGTACGCTGTAAATTATAACTCATTATAACCTACCATTAATGTATGCCATAAAAATGTAACTTGTTTAAGGCGTACCATCGATGTATGCCGTAAACATTTCAAGTAATTGAATTATTAAAGCATACATTTAAGGTATGTCGGAAATAGTCTATTTTTACAGCATACCTTATATGAATACCGTAAATGAATGTCTTAAATAATTTACTTTAATGGAACTGCAAACTGTAATGAATGCACTAACTATGAATATGATGTCAAAAGTAGTTCAACTTCATATTACCCTTCAATATGAATGAGCAAAAGTCTCGAATGAGCCCCTCAAAGCTTGATGCAAATAAATAAAATTTTGTTCAACATCTCTGAGCCTCATTTACTGTAACGATATTTTATAATGTTGAATTGTTAATTGATAAAAACCTACTTTTGGTAAATGCCTATAAACTAGAAAGTATCATTATTTTTATAAATCTCCACTCACTGAGTATATCTGTCGATATATTCAAAATTTTCTTATTAGGCAAAATTTGAATTTTATTGACATTGAAGAGCGTTTCGAATCAGAGCAACGATCATATGACATATTTGTCGTCTCCTTTGGATTGAGCATACAAAAATTATATTGGGCCCATATTAAATTTTTTCTTCGAATGACTTTCTTTTGTCTATCATATAATTATAGTCGATGAGTGTTAGCCTTGATGGTGGATATAGTACCTAGCGAGTATCTATCATCGACATACAACATGTTTCAAGTCAATTAGGATGGCTTGAAATTGATCGTATCATGTTGAGTACGCTAGTAAAGCGGATCAATTAGAAGGGAAAATTCTAAATCAATTAGAAAAGTGAACGAACGAGAAGGATGAAGAATTCGGAAGCTTCTTTTATCATTATATATTGTCAAATTTTTGGAGTAAAATTCCATCCCGTAATGGTCCATTTTGACATTTTTCTATTTTTAGTTACCTTTTATTAATAAGATATTTCATTTTTTCCCAGTATTTGGTGGGTTCCAGATATTTATCGCGTCCATTCAAGCGAAATTCAAGTAAACACTCGTTCGTATGTTATGAACAAGAACGAATTATGATAATTCACGTTTTCATCCTAAGTTTTTAAGCGTTGAAAAATTGAGAACATTACCTGCTGCCATGAGAATTGTGATCTATTCGGACCACCAGTCTTTAGTGCACCAAAGATATTTGAAAAATAAGATGTATGTTCATTGGACTGTATATTTTAGATAGTTTAATTATGTGATAAAGGACAAATTCGAGCCACCACTTAGGTTGTGGATGCTTTGAGCATGAGAGCTGCTTTGCTGATTAAAGTAAGTAATGAGGAGATTGAATTTGAATTTTTACAAAAGCTTTATGAAAGAGACGAAGACTTTGGGTCGTTGTGGGCAAAACACTTAGTGAAGCAATTGATGGGCGATTTTTTAGTACATGATGGCTTTTTTGTTTAATGGTAATTGGTTGTGTATTCAGCGTACCTCCATGTGTGAGAAATTAATAAGAGAATTGCTTGCTAGGGGATTGAGTGTTCATTTAGGTCGAGAAAAGATGATTAACAGTCTCGTGGACAGTTACCATTGGTCGTAGTTAAATAGGGATGCTAGTATATTCATGAGGAAGTGTCCGGTTTGTCAAATACAGAAGGGACGGGCAAAACACTGGATTGTATATGCCTTTGCCTATTCTGGAGCAACTTTGGTAGGACCTTTGCATGGACTTTGTGCTGGTATTGCCTCGTACATAAGAGGATCAGATTCTATTTTTGTTTGTGGTGGATAGGTTCTCCAAAATGGCACATTTAATTCCTTGTCGTAACACTATCACTTCTAATCAAGATTCAAAGTTCTTAACTTACTTTTGGTCGACAGTGTGGAAGAAGTTTGGGACAGAATTGCAACTTGCAACACTGCACATCCTCCAATCGATGGTCAACTGAAGTGGTTAATAGAACCTTAGGGAATTTGTTACGGTTTATCTATGGTGAGAAGAAGAAACAGTTGGTTCTTGTATTAGCACAGGCAAAATTTGCTTATAATAGTGAAGTTCATTCTTTGACTATTAAATTACCTTCAGATATTTTTTATAGAAAGACTTACACACAAACAATGGACTTGTTTAGACTTTCAAACTCTATGAGAAAGAGTGTAGTGGCCGTGCAATAAGCTAAACAACATGTAAATGTGATTTGAGCAGGTGAAGAAAAAGTTGGAAGCCTCCAATGCAAAGTATAAAGCTGCCGTTGATATACATAGGTGTGGTGGATGGAATGGTTATAGTGTTCCCGAGGAATTAGCGTGGTAGAAGTCAGATCAAAAGAAGTATGGGCCTTTTGAGATGATGCAAAAGATCAATGACAATGCATATTTTCTTGATCTTCTAAACACATGAAGATTTCAACGTTTAGTGCTGCAGATCTTTATGATTATGTTTCATACAACAATGAGCCTTTGTATCCTAATAACAACTCAGAGTAAAGTTGTTTTGAAGTGGAAGGGAAGGAAATGTGAATCAATTAGAAGAGAAAATTCTAAACCAATTAGAAAAGCGAATGAATAAGAAGGATGTATAAAACGTGCATAACTTTCAGCTCAGTTGTGAAAATTTCGTTAATGAATACAATTCGGAAGCACTTTTTTTATTTATTTTCTTCAGTTCTGCAAATCCTTGCTGGGTGATGATAATGGCCTTTGGACAACATTGTCTAACTCTGCGGTCAAATTCCGTCATTTAAGGGTTCATTTTGACGTTTTTCTATTTTTAGTTAATTTAAGGGTATTTTTTTATTTCACAGTTTTCTAGTTTTAATTGAATTTATCTACAAATTAGGTCTTGATTTATTTTGAGTTTATAAATACGTGCTAAGATTGTCAAAGCACTACAATTGTTTTTATTAATAAGATATTTCAAATTTTCCTATTATTTAGTGGATAGCAAATATTTAGTACGTCCATTCGAACGAAATTCGAGCAAATACTCGTTCGTGTGTTATGAACAAGAACCAATTATTATTATTATCTCATTTACGTCCTGTGTGAATGATCATTGCATTGTGCTCGAAATACCTAACTAAAAAAAATAGTAGAAATAATTTTTACATCAATTTTCATGAAGTTTTTTTGAGTTCAATTTAAAAAAAAAAAAAAAAAATAGTAGAAGTCGTTTTTCTTGCTATCTTATCTTTTTTTATTTTATTTTTTATTTTTTTTCAAAGTTAGAAAAATATATAAAATAAGTGCCCTGTTGTGATCAATTCTTACTTAAATAATATCCGTTGATCCTCACACCAACAACTTAATAAATAAATTGTAATAGTTATGAAAATATGTTTAGGTACAAGATCTAAGATAATATCGGATTGCAATTGTAGGAAAAAAAAAATAGATAATAATATTTAAAAAAAAATGTTTGAAGATCTTAAACAATTATGATATGGATTGCAACGCAATCCAACTGTCTAACATAATTCGAATGGGAAGTAGTATCATTGGATATATTTCTATGATGGAAGTATTTCCACTTTTACGTATTAGACCCATTTTCCTAATTATGGCAGGATTGCTTCCCTATCACGTTTTCAATTCTTGCATTTATAGTGCTTAGAATTTCCCTATAAATAGTCGAATTTACACTCCATCTAAGTACCCATAATTTTCATTCGTAGGACTACCAACAACAACCTCCTGATGACTACTGGCAACGATTCCGGCGGTGCTCAGCCAATACCTCCCGTCAAGCGCACTGATTTTCCCCAGGATTTTGTATTTGGCTCTGCAACATCGGCTTATCAGGTGTGTGCCATATTGTTTGGATACAAATATTTGTTTAATTTCATCATTAAAAGAGACTTTAAATTCTTGAATTATGATGAACTCATATATAACAATATACATTTATATATTTATGCAGGTCGAAGGTGCTTGGAATGTACGCGGTAAAGGCAGGAGTAGTTGGGACGTTTTCTCATTGTCGAACCCTGGTCTGTTCTTTCTCTTTACTCCTCCTCAGGGTGTGTACATATTTCTGTATGTTTTAGATAACCATTGCTGAACATGTTTCTTGGAATGGCAGCTGGAATTGAAGATGGAAGTAATGGTTGTACTGCTATTGATCAGTATAATATGTTCAAGGTACAGTATGGAAGTTTTTCGAACATGACAATTTCCTTTGGCCAAACTGAAATCGGTTTCTACCCGAAACAAGTTTGTTAACTCTAAAAAATCTAATTAAAATCCAAGTCAAAGTTGAAAATTAATTTTAACCAAGCATTTCATAGAATTCACAACTTTTCAATTACTTATTCCATCAACTTTTATCAAAATATACCAAAAGTCAAATTTTAATCTCTACCAAACATGGGGTAAATATGATCATTCATTTGTGCATAATGATGGCAATGCCCTTTTATTAAAATGTTGACGGGTGAACTGAGCCCTTGTTTGATTTTGCTTAAAATTAGATTTTTAATATATTTTGAGAAAAATTGTGAGTCCCATAAAATGTGACACAAATTAATTGTAGATTTTGATAAATTTTTATTAACCTCTTTAACTAAACCAAACATTAATTGATGAGGCTTGAGACTGTTTTTGAGCATTAGTTGTGCTACATAGCATAATCAATGACTTAATAGTCTAGAAATTTTCGTCAACTTTGTCTAATTTGACCCAAAATGTTTAGATGGATAGAATTCGAAAAAAATATGAAGCTGAAAATTTAAAAACTGGATATTTTTTAAATACGTAGAAGTAGTGGATAAAATTCGTTTTCACTCTCCACAACGGTCATGTGTATATCAATATTCCATGATCCAGTTAATTTTAAATCAACTTTAACAAAATATATATATTTTAACTAGTCCTTGTATTACTCCTTTATTATAACATTACAGGACGATGTGGATTTGATGAAGAAAGTGGGTTTGAATTCTTATAGATTTTCAATTTCATGGACTAGAATATTACCAGGTATCATAAGGAGATAATATATTTTATTAATGCAATGTGAATGATCTAGGACTTATGCATCACTTAGTTTGTAATATCTAATGAATTTCTTACTAATTATTTATTTATTTTTTGTGTTTTATATTGGTAATTTTAGCCGGCAGAATATCTAAAGGCATATCCCAAAAAGGAATTGGGCACTATAACGATCTAATTGACGCACTCTTGGCCGCAGGTCAGAGTCAATTTTATATTTAATTCTTTTTGTTCATTTTTTTATTTTTTTTTTTTCACTTAAGTCACCACACTAAAGCTCAAGATTACATGCTTTTGAAATCATTTCTAGTCTTGTAATTGTTGAATCATCTCCTTTTAAAGGTTAAATTACTAGATAAAAACATTGTGGCGTTAATTTAAAAATCATAAGGTAAAACATTCCACCAGCAATTTCTTGTTGGTGGCGTTATCAAAGCTTTCCTCTTCTCCATAGCATGGGAGTACTTCACCATCTCACAAGTTTACTTACTTCCATTATTGCTTCGTCCGCTCAAGTGCCATATATCTTCACAAAATAGCTTCCTAAAAATTCCTTTTTGTCTCTGCGCATCAAGATGGGCCTTCAATGTAATTTTCAAAAAGCAAACTATCTTTAAGATTAATCACACTGTAATTCTGCCAAAGAGATTTAAGGAAACAGATGAAGGAACAGCTACTCTTATGCAGGCATTGAGCCCTGCGTAACTCTATTCCACTGGGATGTTCCTGAATGTTTGGAACTTGAATATCAAGGCTTCTTAAGCGATAGAATTCTGTAAGTAACTCAATCCTGCTTGCGTCATGTTTTATTGGAGATAGATGTTCAAGAAAATTAATTTCGGATTTCTCCCGTTATTTGTGTAGGCAAGATTTTTGTGAATTTGCTGAGGTCTGCTTTTGGAGTTTCGGTGATCGAGTGAAACGTTGGATAACATTGAATGAGCCATGGGCCTTTTCTGTTCAAGGATATGTGTATGGTAGATTCCCCCCTAATAGGGGTGCAACCGCAACTCAGGATGCGAGCGTTATGAGTCTGATAAACTTCCCTATACATAGATCAACAAGTGGGACTCTAATTCTTACCAGTGAAGGAAATCCAGGAACAGAACCATATATTGTGGCACACAATTTGATCCTTGCTCATGCAAATGCTGTTGATATATACAGGAAAAGATATCAGGTAAATTTATATCCTGAGTTTCTGTAATAGTCTATTTATATAGATAGACACATGATTTGTAATTACAGGAAGCTCAAGGAGGCCAAATAGGAATGACAAATGTCTCAATTTGGTATGAGAGTCTTACCGATGCAGATGAAGATAAAGACGCTGCTTCAAGGGCGCTCCAGTTTACTCTGGGATGGTGAGTATGCGTCAGTAGTTTATAGGCCTCAATTTCTACGTTTAGTCCGCTAATTAATCTGGGCACAACGTAAACACAACAACGGACTACGGGGTTTACAGTCTCGTATCAATGGCCGTCAATAAATTTTTAAATATTGCATGTAAACGGCTTTGTTTTATGTTTGTATCGCATAATTCTCTCTCCTTTTTTCTTTTGCCTCCTTCTTTCTCATGAACGTTGTAGTTGCTTTTGTGTTGAATTGATTGTGAATAAATACACCATATATATTCTCGTAATTAAAAATATATATATTATTTACCTTTTGTTTTCAGGTTTTTAGAACCATTGGTAAACGGTGCCTATCCACCAGCTATGCAAGCAAATGTAAAAGATCGTCTTCCTAAATTTACAGATGATCAAAAGCTGCTCGTGAAAGGATCATATGATTTTTTAGGCATAAACTATTATACTGCTAATTATGCTATGAATTATGTCATTAACGGACCACCAAATTACGTGACAGATCAGCAAGTTAAGTTTTCGAGTAAGTACACTTACAAATAATAACATTACATTGAATTCTTGTATAATGGTACTCACTCTCTCAATCCTTTGTAGTTGATCGCAATGGAGAAAAAATTGGTAAAAAGGTACACCTTTAATTGTGCCAATTTCAACATCAAATACTAAGATTGTTGCAATAGTTTATGTTGTAAAGCCCCGGTTTGACACCTAAAATTTGAAAACTCTTTTTTCTACATATTCATTTTTATCCACACATTCACGCAATAAAATATTCTGCATGTAAATCCAAATTTTTTTTCTATTTTTTTAACCACATATTCTGCTAAAAATCATTATTCAAAACATTGTATTTTCAAATAATGGCCACCAAACAGGGGCTTTATTTTCTTATCAAATTCAAAACTAGTTCAAAAATTTAACAAAATGCATTATGTCTAATTAGTAGATGCATAAAGTACTTACCATGATTTAATTAATTCTAATGCTTATACAATATAATAACATCAAATGAAATCACAATAATCTTTTGTGTTAGGCCGGTTCCGATTGGTTGTACATTGTTCCATGGGGAATTTACAATGTCATGCAATATGCAAAGGAAACATATAATGATCCTATCATTTACATTACAGAGAATGGTAAATAGTAGTGTTATTATTAGATTATACATTGAAGTAGTTAGAAATATTTTATTTTTAAATATATTAACACAATGTGATTTATTGGGAACAATATCCCCCATCATTTTGTATAGGAATGGATGAAAAAAATGATAGATCCAAAAACATTACAAGTTATCTTGTCGATAATGGAAGGATTAATTATCACAATGACCATCTTTGGAACCTTAAAGAGGCAATGAACAAGTAAGTTATCGTTATTTTTAATTGCATACTAGTCATTAATTCGACTCTAAACAAATTGTAAATTATGAAATTAGTTGACAAGTTTCCTTTTCTTTTCAGCCTAGGTGTTCGTTTGAAGGGTTACTACATATGGTCATTATTTGACAATTTTGAATGGGCTGCGGGATACACGTCTAGATTTGGTATTTTCGCAGTAGACTTTGAGAATGGTCATTTGACAAGATTCCCAAAACACTCAGCTCTATGGTGGATGAAACTCCTTAACAAGAAACAAGATAAAAAAACTGAAGGAGGGCCTACTGCGAAAAGGCAACGAATTGCAGCTAATTAAGTGTAAAAGTCCTGCTTAATCCTCTTCTTCTGTAATGTCTTGTCGAATAAGGCACGGATGTCATGTTACTCGGTTTGTTTCCTAATTTTCCTGTGTGCGCTGAATGTTTCAACTTCTTTAAATTGGCTTTGATGAACATAAAACATTCTACGTCAAAATAGAATGTTTTTTTGTTTAAGATGTTAAAATAATTCCAGTGTCGGGCTGTGTGCCCATAAAGTATTGCTGTAATGGATTGATATTTTGTGGCATTAAATAAATATCTATGTTGGAATATTTATGTCATTTTATTTTCAATTTAGCAAGCATTGTCAGATAATATTAGTTGTACGCTTGCTTGGTGAATCTCATTGAGACACAACTAATTAAATCCACAACATGTTAACAAATGTTGGCACATCATGCTGACAAGACCGTAGTGTCTCGATTGTGAGTAATTACACTTGCATTTGAAGTGCATTGGATTGAACCATGCGTTGGAATTTGATTTTACAGCATAATCATGCAAAAAATTAAATTGAAGGTAATCGCCAAATGAATCACTTTATTCCATGTGATGTATGTGAGCTTCGGGTTCTTTTAATCAACTAATAAAATGATCCGACAACTTTGGACGATAAAGTCTCACAAGTGCAAAATATCTTGTACAAAAAATAAAAAATAAAATGATAAATTAAATACCGTCTTCACGTGGAATTAGAATCTAGTTCAAAGTTAATTAAGTTTAACTTTATGTCAAACTCACATATTTCAAAGATTGATTGATTTACGAGTAGATCAATTATTTTATGAAAATAGGCTAAAGTTATAAATCCAATGGCAACTTTAGAGGATGATTAAAAATACTAAAATCCAACTCTACGCATTAATATATTTTAACTCTCCAATTCCCTTTATTAATTCCAGATTATTCATAATCTTCATGACAGTCTATTATCCTAATTTATCTAACAACCTACAAACCTACTTCCATATACAACCATCAAACATTCCTAAAGAGAATTGATCAGATTTCAAAGTTTTCCTTCTTCCCTTTGACTCCAAACATTTAAAACTTCACAAATAAGTCAACTAATATTATATGTAAACTTTAAAAATTAATTATTATCCTAATCTACTTCACAAAAATTGAATTTGTACTAACCATCTATAACTAAATAAATATGAAAATAGAAACCATCCTATCGGCGTCAAGTCTGCACGTGGTCTCTCGAGGATTAGAGAGTTTCAAAGTAGTTGTGAAATAAGAAACATAACAGACTCAACCTTCCCTATTTCCAGAAGCCAAATAAGGCTAACAGATTGTCGTTTTGCAGATATCAAATTGGAACGTTTTCAACGGATTCTCATGACATTGAATAATTACAACAGTGTTTATTTTATATGGTTCAGGAGAAGATGAAGGTAACAACTGGGAAGTCTAAAATCATGACATTGAGCGTATAAATATCCCCATTCCATATCATCTGAGGAACCAAAAGAATAATGCAAATTGAATTGAACAAAACAGCATCCAATTCTCTATTCATACTCCTGTAAATTAATTTCTGATTTAAATATATTTTCCTACTCTACTTGCCACGAAAAAACTACCTAATTAACTTCCAGTCCCTTCAGAACTCTTAGACTGCTTGGCGTTCTCCCATTGCTTGACCAAATTGGCATATCCTTCAGCCGAACTAACAGCAAATTCTGTCAGTGAATTCATGGCTACTGACATTCCAGCGCAAAGCTCTCTATTGGCTACTTCAGCCACTTTCTCTGCACTCGGTGCTTCATCTTCAAGTCGGCCAACCTCCATGCCTCCTCAAGGTTCCCGTTTCCCTCCACAGCTTTTTGAAGCAATTAGTTGTCTGGAAGAATTTTCCTGAAGTTGTGCACACAAGGAACAAATACCTGCTGCTGCAAGACCGAGTCCATCAAGTACCGGAGCTTCCTGGATTGCATCAAGGAACCTGGACCATTGGATGCAAATGTTAAACATTGACGATCCCCCGAAGGACTCACGAGGAGCCAATGGTAATTTTGATCTGTCAGGATCCAAACGAACACAGCGCAAGAGCCATCCTGTCAATGCATGCACATATAAGCGCTGAGAAACAATCCATGTCTCAAAGCAGGATCTCCAATTCCTGAGCTCAGTGTCAAGGTTAGCAGCTGAACGGACAAGCCTTTGCATCTCCGAATGTGACATTTTTTGGTTCTTTATTGCAGAAAAAGTTGAGGACGTTCGGGCCAGTAAAATCTTGGCCTCATCTAGAGTACACTTCTGCAGTTGGTGGCGCTCAGCCATAACCTTCCACATCCTTGCTAACCTGGTAAATGACCGCCCAAATAATTCAATTGCATCATTTAATTTACAAAGATTTATGTCTAATTGGTGGGAGAAGCATGTACTATGGACAAATTCACAAGCGTAGGCTTGAGAATCTCGAAGTTCAAACCCAGATGAGAATGAATATATTTAAAACAAACACATGCAACCGAAGCATACATTATTCAAAAAATCTTTAATTTATTTTATGAAGTAACGTATCCAGAGCTGACATTAACGGATTGAAGTTCTTCAACCAGGACAATGTTACTCATAAATTTCAAAATCATTTGTACCTATTATCTACTGTTGAAGAATAATAATAGATCATTTATTTGGCTAGAGGATAAACATTTTTGTACTTTTCTTACAAAAGTAAGATGTCAAGAAAAAAGCATATGTATTACACATCTCGTGGTTAGAAATACTTGAAGCATAGGTATATCAGTTGCATATTCCAGTATTTTCATCTAAGTTCACTCAGTAAGTCTAATAGAGGACAATAATTAATGCTAGAAGCAAATAGGGAAATACATTGTTAGCTTTACAATTTTAGCTAAATAAGCAAAGAAACTAAATTGAGATTCGTACGGACTCTTGCACTAGTTCTAATATCTGAGGCGCCAGCTCTTCATCCCTTAACGTTTCAATTCTCTTAGAGGCAGATTCAACTAAGTGAATTGAAACTTTTATTTGGGTATGCAGATCGCTTATGGCTGCTCTTGCTTTATCAGAAAGAGGAGGTTCTTCTCCTTTTACATCTTGATTTTGCAGCTGTGCACACTTCTTTTCATATGCTTTTTGAATGTGTTCACCAGCCTGTTTAGGCGCAAAAATCAATTATAATTGACTGACATGAGCAAATCCAGCATTGTTACATTTAAAAATAAATCATGATAATATGTTCTCCTCCCAATAGAGTGAATCTTAAAATTTCATCACATGCAAAGAAATTTAGAATTCAGCCGCTATACTGAAGAACTACATAAGTACAATATTCTCTTTTACATTTCTACTCCTTTGATAAAAGTAGTTCAGTTATGTTTATGGCTAAAAATGGAGGTAGAGTCTTGAATTTCCCAAAAATATCAAGATAAATAATTTAAAGCTGAAAGACAAAAACGCTGTAAGAAAAATGGCAAATCAGTGAGGGGCTCTATACTCTGCTATAATGTAATGAAATGCAACTTGTGATATAAAAAAATAAAAATAAATAAATAAATAAATAAAATCATAAATCTTCACCCTTAAAAATACATGCATACATTCTGTTGGTTATATAAAACAAAATTAGGAATTGCACTTTCTAATTTTAAGTTGTTTGAATGCTAAGGTGTATGGTACAATTTCCTCCCAATGTTTTTGCTTCCACGGAAATAACCTTTTCATTTTGGTTCATAGTTTTTATTTTCTTGTGAGCTAGTGCCAACAAAATGCATTTCCAAGTCTATTAACTAATATAAGTGATGAGGCTACTCTTATTTGGCACAAACTGTTCATCGGTCAGAGGCATACCCTCACTTCATGGTAAAGTTTTTTCTCCCAAGCATATAATTTCTCCAGGGTTGATTAATGATTTCCTGTAAAAATGCAGGACTCTTCAGAGAAGATGCTACAACATTCATAGTCTTCATCTCTTGAGGTTGAAGAGCTCACTAAAAACCTTGATGATTTTGACAATCGAGATGAAGCCGACCTGAACAAAGTTCCTGGACTCAACATCTCCATTACTGAAAAATAAAATTTAACGTTAAAATTAGCAAACAAACCTGGAGAATCAATGAGTCATATTATTTTTGTCTTCTACTCAAGTATCTAAACTACAGGGTTTGACATGACTAATTAAAAGTGTTTTAGCAAGAAAGCATTAAATCTTGATTGACCGTGAAATCATGGATGAAATTGGTAAAACATTCTAAATGAGAGATGACAAAAAATAGAGAATCGATTTACAAGAATGCCATACTTGATGCAAGTTCTTTCCCCACCCCTTAAGCTGATGGACTTGATAAAATAATTCTCTTGCTCGTTAGAGAGTCAACATTTATATGTATAATGCAGCAGCAAAAACAGAATGCAGGAGCTATGGCAAAGTTCACACATTCTGCATTGTAATTCAATTCAGTATCATATTTAGACCTGTGAGATCATTTGATGTTGATGAATACTTGGTCCTGCTGGATTGGAGAATTGATGAAATGACAGTAGCTGCATTATGCGTAATCATGAACTGATCTTCAAGATCCTTGACAACTTCTTCCATGCTTGCTATCCTTCGATTTACGTAAACCGTATACCCAGGAGTTTCCTCTTTTGATTCACAATCAGTAACTGTAGTTTCTTTACCACTAATTTGACCTACATTTTCACCATTTGCAACTTTGACACTTCGAACATTTTGAATTTCATTTGGTTGTAATCCTTGGTTTGTTTGCTCTTTTCCAGTTCCAGGGTTTGTTCCATCCCCAATTTTACTATTGCTGCTACCATTAACATCTTCCACAACTTCTGCTATGTTGGAGTCTCATCAGGCTTAACCCTCTCTTCTTTCATTTTTTTACGTTCATCACTTTGTTCTTTTTCTTTTTTCTCTTCCAATTCAGGTATGCTTTCCTCTTCTTGAACGTTCCTTAATCAAGCATTCTCATCATTCAAAATAGTCTCATCAAGACTGCTGGTGGTATAGCCATAGTAATCTAATGAAGAAAAGGGATTCCAGAAGAAATCCCAATGAGATGGTTGAGCTGAAATTGGAGAACAATTAGGTCCATCAATGGGGGAGCTATGGAAAATTGAAGAGCTCACAGAAGATGAATGCATTTCCAAAAAGCTGTCCATTTCGAAATGATGCACAGGGGGGCATAAGCTTCAATTCGGATAGCTTCTGGTGATTGAGGTGGTCTCATCTCAACAGTAATAGAAGGATTTCCACCAGACTTGAGGTTGTTTATTTTACAACGTG